TGACGTCGAATTTGATTCTGGGAAAGTGGAACACATCACGCTCAGTACAGGATGTAGTTTCTTAGCATCTTTCGACCTATCACGGGTAGTGGTTGACATACTCGATGACGAAATGCAGAAAAACGATGGTGATTGCATCAGAAGAACTCAGCTTCGCTCCTCAGTTTCCGGTCCAGTGGGTGTGCTACTGTGTTTAAATGTCGGTGCTGTTTGGAAGCAACCGTAAGCCAAATTTCATCAATGCCGGCTTTCTCTTTTGCTATGTGGTCCGTGGGGAGATTGGACAAAGCCTTGCGAGCAATTACTCCGATCGAACTAAGAACCGCATTAGCAGAATGTGCGCCGTTTGTGGTATTGGAACAGCCATTGATTTTATTAGCTATTGGGATCGCCATACGCACGGTGTTACCAGCCGTTCTCCTCGGGGTTGAAGTAGTACTTAGTGGGAAGCATGAGTTGCACAGTCCGCGCTGCTTAGCCCAAATGTGGTGATTTTGCTCATCACAATTTCCTCAAACTTAGATAATAGTTAATCATCTTTTGAGATAATAGGAGCACACTTTTTATCAGTGGCGCAGATGTTCTTTTCATACAAAACCAGCAGATTCTGGTTTTTTTAATCATTTGGCCTGGATAGCTCTCACTCCTACCCATTTCGTAAGGGAAATGTTACAACAGCTGGAAAACGGATTACCCTCTTCGACAGGTTTGGCAAATGATCCACATATGATTTTGGCCTGAAGCACGCTAGGCATCGCGCTCACTGAGCGAATGTTGCAGACCATTAGTATTACTTACTCTTGATGATTAGTAGTTTTTCTCGTGTCTCTGACGATGACGATAAGGTCACAGCGCTAAATCCTCACTTGCGTGAATGCAAGCTGTTCTGTTTGGCGTGCCGGCCGAATGCATCAGCGTGCACGTGAGGAAGATCCCAAGATGGTTTGATGGAGGAGTTTCGCGGTCGGGCCTATAAATTTCCCAAGCTGAACTTGTCGAGAGACCGAGAGGGGTGCGCTGCGGGGAAACGTAAATTACCCTATAGCTGCACCATACAACGTATTTGGACGAATGAGAGCCTGTTCGAACGCCGTTGAGATACTCTATTGAGTGAGACCAAGCAATGTCATCAGCGGTTGGAATTACACAGCTATTTGAGCTTGGATATCGGCGAAACGCTGTCTGGAATTTACAATTCATCGTAAATGTAGTATGCACTGGTAGTGTTCTCGAACAAATTGTGTCACAGGGTTGAGTCTGTAAAAGCAAGACGACTACATATAAACATAGTGGCGTGCGATCAAATGCGAATAAGCAACGGCGAAAAAGCCGAGAGTGCATGAATGCATGATTACCACATCCTGAGTCACACACTGGGAAGAAGCTTTACCAGTTCTCTTGCTAGCTCACCGCACTTCCAAGCAAACACTAAATAACACTACTGTCAGCTGTACGCCGTAACGGCGCTTCGCTGCCGTGTGACCACCACCAGTCGCACGCGGGTTGAGTATATCGAGAGCACGCCCACCACTATGCGGATTCGAACCCGCGCCGCAAGATTACGAAACAAGCTCGTTAGCTCTAGGCTACGGGCTGACAAGCAAGCAAGCCCCAAGAGATCCCCATTCCAGTTACTGTATGCTCATAAACCTAGACTTCTAGTGGATCTGGGGGTGGGGGTTTGGCGGACCTACCAGTTATCGCCAAGTGAAGCACAGAACAACAGAAAGGTAGCGAGCCAAAATCTGAGGGCAACTCAGGACCGGATGATAGAAAAGTTCCGAGTCGACATGATGAAATCGTTTGGAGACTTTACAAACGGTTCTAAGTTGAACTACAACGAACACCGACGTGTGACCGCATGTGGTTCCGGGGAGAGGAAACTCTTGTCATAGTTGTAATAACTATACGATATTATCGATCGACGAGGGCTTGTATACAACATGTCTCGGCAGGAAGATAGGCGGCGAGTTAATGTTAGCGAAATAAGGGAGTGGCAAGGACGACGAGAAAAAATTACGGTATACAATGGGCATTCCGGGGGGTCGAAGAGACTGCGTGGGAGATCGACTGCCGCGGACCCTTGAATGGGAAGAACCGTGGTGCACTACTGATGAGCAGTTTGTGTCGGAACGAGGAGCCTAAAGGAAAAAGGGAAACGGTGGCACCGTAGACGAAGGATGTGTGGTGCGCAAATCTACCTCCAAAGATATGTTGTGCAAGAAGAGGCGCAGTGGAATGGAGAGTCGGAAATGTACCACGAGAGTTGTGCGCAAATGGGCACCGAGCTGCTTTCGAAACAGTATGACCGAGGGTCATCAGGGATTTGTGTTTAGTCAGTTGTGAAACACCGAGTTTCGTATATTTGTTCGAACGTTCCCTGTGGACATTTTTGTGTCTGCTCGATGTAAGCACCGCCTAGTACTAGAATTACTCTATTATAGGGATAGGGTGTAGAAAAGAGAAATTTGGGGATTAGAAACAATGTTTGTGGTTCATTTTGTGGGTTGGGGTGAAGCGAATAAATGAACGTTTCATTACTTTTCACCGACCGAGTCAGTGCTTCCATTGCGCCAAGTCGAATTTCGAGATCACTTTGGCAAAAAACTCTTTTTAGGACCTTCGTGCTTATGGGAGTCGCCATCTCCCTCAAAAGGTGCACAACTATCGGTTACACGCCACGGGTATACAGGACGGATCATCATTCAAAATGTTGCGTCACCCTAAGTCCCGCATAATTTGTTTCGCGGAAGTTGTCATTCACTTTGCATCTCAATATTGTTTGGTCACACCCAATGGTTGGTGGCATCCGCTTCCAGATTTGGCTGTCACTGCAGCTTCCATGGGAACAGGCACAGGATGCCTGCGCCTACAGAGGGAGCATGGTAGCCTGCGCTTCACCAACCACCATCCACATATATTCTTTCCAGTGTAAACTCGGATGAATGAGACCGAGAGGCATCGACGTTACATCAACAGAGTCGGAACACACTCCTTCAACATGCACAACAGCAGTATTCTTGTCTATCCAAGTTGGGAGTAATGCGTACCAGACTAACACAAGACGATGGATGGGCTGTAGCCCGCTACACACTGGATCAATTGCCTCGTAGAGCCAGTATAAGCTATGTAGCGGTATTTCGACAGGCGGACACCTTGTCACCATTCACAGGAAGCGCAAGGACACCTGGGATCTCAAAAACAAATACGAAATATGAAAGAAAATCAACAAGCAAACGGAACGGTAAATGTGCAACAGAATGATAGAACAGAGTAAGACGAAGTGTGCATGACATTTGACATAGTGTAAGGGTGGTCTTTGATAAGTGCAAGCGTAAATCATGAGATTACAACCGACTAACGGCGAGAATGAAAGGAAAATAAACGTGAAATAAACAGAGAATATGAGGAAGGTTAAGATAACTGAAGAAATAAAATAAAATGGATTCGGCCAAATTTGTTGAAGGGTTTCAGTCCTGTTATCCCCCGTCACTGTACACCAAAACACGTCTCGTCCTTGTTTTGACTCATCAGGTGGAGATCGTTTGATCAGGGAATTAAACTCGAACAGTAATCCAAAAAGCAACATTCAGCTTCTAACCTCCGTGTTAAGCGGTGCTCGCGGAGCTCAGTGGTATAGTGATCATGATAGCCCCGAACCACTATGTGCCGAGTTTTACAACCAGCTCAGGGTATCGCTACCTGAAGAGTCCAAACGAGGACGAAACGCGGCGTAGAGTGCAAAGTTAGTTATAACTTGGTCTAGCCCAACAGCAGTGAAGAAGCAGAATTAATACAACATCAGGGTGATGCAAAGATCACACCCATAGTCAGGTATATAATTGCGTATCGGTTATTACTAGTGGTACTTAGGAGAAAATATGAATTTAGCAGCTTCCGGATTCTTACCGCATTTTCAAATAGCTAACGGAGACCAAATTCCGCAGCGCATCAGTGTCACTGTAGCAAGTTAACAGGTAAAATGTTGTCGAGCCTAGCCTAGAATGTCAGTCCTTTCCTGTTTTCTTCACCCTCCTATTTTATCTTCGGTATCGTTAGAGCAGCCATCTCCCGTGCATTTTCACATCATTCTTCTAATCTCAGGCTCGGTGTTCTGTCGGCAGCTGTGACAACGCCGTCCAGCTCGCCACTAGGTGCAATGCATGCGTGTACCCTCCACCCAGGTAAGACAATTACTAGATCGTTGTGATAGAATTGTCCAGCCACCTAAGAAGTATGTAAGATGTATTTCGGCCCACTTGGGGGGTCTAGTAAGACCCCAGTACGCACTAGACACGGAACCTCTCGGAACCACCGACCGGACGCTTACTACAAGGGCATTAGAGACCATGGCTCCACTGCAATTCTAGGGTTTCTATGCAAACAGGAACTATGGCTAATCCGCGAAAGTAAACCGTAACTACTTCCTGATGGGATGAAAACATTTTGCTGGCGTTCGCTTTATTTCTAATTATTTCAAGTGGACCACGCCTTCTCATGATTTTACGCGACAAAATCCGCACTGGATATACGAAACATGACGTCGCGAACCGTCGACATTTCAAATTCGTAGCATAGTCAAGGAAGAGATTACGTTTGTTTTAGAAATAACGCTCTCCTTGCATTGTACTAAACACCGAGTTCCCCGACATCGATTATTCCTAAACACACAGTACCCGGAATTGCAAGTAATTATCGCCTTTGTGAGTAGACTGAAAAGAAGATATGGAATCAAAATGCATATATGTGATCATAAAGCGTTGAGTTCGACAGACCGTTCTCCGTCTTCGCTATACGCTTCATCAACACTGAGTAAAGATTTTTCCGTAGTTCCGTTTATATGCGCATTTTACGAGTGAAAATATTGGCCTCTCATTACTTTTATTGTAACGTGATATTAATCTGTTAAATGTAGGAATTCGTCACTTTCTCGTTCAGTTGCAGCTCCCATCGGTGAATCGCAGTCCCAACGAAAGTTTGAAGAAGCGGCACCATCCGAAATGCCAATGCGAGTGGTGGTCGCACTCTACACATACGATCCCACTACGATGTCACCAAATGTGGATGCGGTGCAGGAGGAACTCCCATTTCAAGAGGGACAAATCATAAAGGTGGGTCTGGTTTAGTTGTGTCCATCTGGGTAAGCGATGTTTGCTTGACTCGACTTAGGCTTACAAAGGAACACGTCCAGCAGTGAACAAAGTGGATAGCAGGCTGCGCTTGTCCGTTCAAACACATGAATCTTCGATGGGTGTAGAACACACCCCAAGAGAGCGCTCAGTCTACCAGATATACGCATAAATCGGCCACATCCCTGACAGAGAAGAAATCAGATAAAAAGAAGGAAAACACTTTAAGTACACATCACTAATCAACCAGGCTGTATAATGTTCCATAGGGATCTATTATGTTTGAAAGAAGTAAGTGGTGCGATCTCCAACTTTCACACTAGAGGCAAAATGTCGAGGTCATCGCGTTCGGTTCCTCGAAATGTAACTTGAATGTTCAACACACAAACTAGCAAACGTTCAGTTTAGCTTGATACTTACTTGAATTCATGTTCAGCGATCGTCCGCTATGCCTGGACATTCCCATCTGTAGAATTGTGGTAAACTAAAGACAGACGCTACTGCGCCAGTTAGCAGTAGTATGAAGGTGCCAGGATGCGAAACCGCAACCAGCCAACAGCAGTTCGTATTGACTCCCCCAAAGGAGCGAAGCAATTCGGAACCGCAGTTGTATGCGCACGGGGAATGGAAGCAGAAGCAGTGTACACCACACAACAACCAGACACGAAAAGAAAGTCGCGCCATGCAACCTTCAACAAGGAGTGCGAAGATGAGTGGATGTTTCGTTGGTCAGTACCGATGCATCTAGTATAAGCTTTGTTGGTGGTAAACCACTTCGCTAGCCCGCTGGATCCATACACAGTGAGTACCGGGTTGCAATCCCGGAAGCCTGAGCATGTCACCAACCACTACTAGTTTCACACCGCGCCATAAGCGTGTGCTAGTGTAAATTCTTCGTGCGTTGTGCTTGCGCGACTGATTGTCTGGCTTGGAGATAGGCGTTGATAGTAGAACGTTCATGAGAATTGGTTACGTAGCCTGTATAGAAAAGTAAAACTATATCTTGAGACCGTTGTACAGGATTGATTTTCAGGATAGTGTACGCATACCAACTCGTTAGATTTTAATCGTGCTGTTTTCTGACGTTTGTATCCTCAGCATGCTTAAAGATCCAGTGAGACAGCAACAGAGCCTCCTCTGTTTAGTCCAGATTGCCATAAATTAGGATACTAAAAATGGTAGCTTCAGACAAGCCTTAAGGCTCTGAGCAATGAGAGCATAATGGTGACTATAATCACAGCTGGTGTGCAGTATGCCCAATGAGAAACATTATCGTGATTAATGCATACTCCGTGCTTTGCTAGACATTTTCTAGCCGAAGTTAATTGTACCTGAAGCGCGAACCAATAGCTTTCAGCACTCCGTCACCAGTTCCTTTTTGCCATGTCTGATTGTGATGGTAATCTGATGAACCCAAAAAGTCTCTCAAATCACGGATAGTAAAAGCGAGGTAAGTCAAAAGTGCATCATTTCAAGTAACTTACTCGCCCGATCATTCAGAAAATCTATGACTGGAAATGGCTTCGGCTGCACAAATGTTTACCACTAACTTTCTGTGACTTTTGTAAAACAAGTCAAATTAGACACTTGTACTCCGCCTAATGGCAAAAAACCGTTTGCTAGGCGGGCTACCCTTCGCGGGCTACCCCTTCGCCTCCGCTCTCTGCACTGCCAACTAGCCTAGTACAAAACAAAACGCGGAAGCCTGCTAGACCGAAGTATATTAGGTACAGAACACGGTTCATTGGATAGGTCACATTCTATCATCTCAGGTTTTACGTTCTTGGATTGAGTCACGACATTTGCCTGGACAGATTCCCTACCTGCAAGCGGTCCGCACGGGCAAGCAGTAGTCGTGCTCACGCACGGCTGTCGCGTAGCAGCCTGTGTCACGATGTCGGGATGGTTTCATCAGCTTCGCGCGTGACGGCCGTGCTACCACCGGTACAATAACAACCCGTGTCAGGATGACGAAGTGATTTCACCAGGTTCCGGTTCGACCATGACAACGAATCTGTCAGCCGCTCACGTGAACTGGCTAATCTCGCCCTGCTAGTGCACCATAATAGTCAGCCGTTTCGCCTCCGTGACAGTTACCAAGCAAAGCTCGGAGACAGACCGACTGTGTTCGTTGTATATTTGCTGAGGTGCATCGTATATTTTTACCCCTATCGATACCTGGATTTTGGAAACAGATTAACAGACACGTAAATAGTTGGCTGAACCAGAGGCATTGAGTCCAATGAAGTTGATAAGCGAAATCATAAATCCTGGGGCAGAATAAAAGAAAAATTGGAAGCAAAACCCATTTGGAACCGTGGATTTCATTGGTGACAACTGAATGTAAATCGAGGTTCAGTGGTTTGCGTGCCTCTATGATCCATTAAGCTACACTGGATGGTTCTGGTTTTCGTTTGTTCTCCGAGCTGAGGTGTTTCGTCACCAGCCGTGATGACATCCTCAATGTCTCACTGCTTAGCGTACAGCTCGTTGAGTGCGCCGTCGGCTCTTGATCGAGGGCAAGTGACGTTTGCAATTGGCCTCTTCGCTTCATATCATGTGACATTCGGTGGTTGGTTGTTCGGTCGCCGCTGCTTCCTGCCTTATGTTAGGATTTCTGACACGTCCAATTTCTTTCTTTCTCAATGATCTAGGTCTATGCACAGGTTTATGGAGTGTTCTGCAGTAAACCATGCTTGAAGGAATTCCCTGCTTTTTCTAGTTTCTCTCCACGCGAGAAATCGGTTTTGTTGCGGGGAGAAACAAGAAAAAGCAGGGAATTCCTTGAAGCGTGGTTTACTACATAACATTTTATAAAGCTGTGCACAGACTTAGACGCGGTGTACCAACCATTGAGGAAGAAAAAAAATTGGACGGGTCAGAAATCCTAACAAGGCAGGAAGCAGCGGCGGCCGAACAACCAGTCACCGAATGCCAATTTCAAACGTCACTTATCCATCGATCAAGACCCGATGACGCACTCACTGAGCTGTACGCTAAACAGTGAGGCACAAGATGTCACCTCGGCTGGTGACGAAACGTCTGCAGCATAATTCCTCAGCTCGGAGAACAAATGAAAACCAGAACAGTCAACCTGGGCTACAAGTATTCCGATTTATCGCATACATTGGATGGAGCTGTGTATTAGATGGCTAGATACTAGAAGCATTTACCGTACATTATGGCCATCTTTCAAAAATGTTTTCGTTGGGTACAACGGTTGATTGTTGTAAACCACAATGGAAGAGCCTGGAATAAAAGAAGCATGATTCATCTATGTTGATGTGGGGAAGTATTCCCTTTGCTAACCGGTTTACTGACTATCATCTCGTCCAACGACGTATAAACTCGCCAAAACACGCCCGAAGTTTACTGTAGTTATTTATCCCATAGGCACTGAACTTTCGCGGGGTTAGACGCAAAAAGGTTCTCATTAGAAATTGCATACAAAGCTTTGAGCCAAACCTGCACCTCACTGTCTCCTCGCCACAAACTGCCTAATAAAAATAAAATAATAAATAATGTATCAGCTGTACGCCGTAACGGCGCTTCGCTGCCGCGCAACCACCACCAGTCGCGCGCGGGCTGAGTATACCGCGAGGACGCCCACCCCTACGCTGATTCGAATCGGTGACCTTATGGCTGCAAAGCAAACGTGCAGACCACTCGGCCACCGGCCGGCGACAGACTGCCTACTCAACTGCAGTCGACTTAGCTATCGCAACTTGCTTTTCTCACCGCTAAGCAGCAAGAACACACTCATAAATTCCCAAACTGCGTTCACAAAGCACTCACATAGTTCATCAGACTAAACGCTTCAATTAGTATTGCATCTCTCGACGCTTTAGCTTAGACAGGTCAGCTAGAAGCGCAGATTCTCATTATGCACCAAATTCGAGTAGATGTGCTGTGTTGCAGAAATACACATACAATGCAGTAGCGTTCATTCAGCTCTTCAGAATCCCAAATCAGTCTGGAGTGGCGATGACCACATTTCGTGTAGCAGGTGATACCTATCTGAGGCCAGTACGGCGTTGCGACCATGCTCATCAAAAAGCTAAAGGTAGTATACTCAAATGGGTCCCGGTGGATACCGTTTGTGCGCAAGTCGACATCCAGGTTGGTAGGCATCACCAAAAGGCACTGTGGTTTTTGCTGTTTCAGCATACGCCTCCGCCGATTGGTACTCGATGCCTGTAAAGAACCATTTCTAGCCGCAGCTCTCAGCCCCACCGATGGATCCGAATGTGTGGATGTTGCGATTGTAATAAGTGCTCAGGTGAGACGCCTAGCGGAGTCCGCATGGAAGGTCAGATTTGTGTCATTTTACTGATAATGGTCAGAGATCTATTCAGCTGCGCTCTGACTTTAAAGTTCGAGTTATTAGAAGCACGTGCTGGCACAGAGGCTAGCAGCACGCCACATGACTACCACCTGACGGAATCTTGTCTTGGAGGTGGATATCTAGTTAATACACCTGATAAAATCCCTACAAATGCAGTCAGAAGCAAACGCCTTAACATAATCACTCATCCTATTCCCCAGTGTCGCGGGATATTTTATGGTGGCATATGGACAAATGACGGAACAGCTCTAGAAAGCTTACAGAAGTTGTTTAGCAGATACCTATTAGACACAAATTCAATTGTGTAATATTGCTAACGATGCAAGCAATTCCTGCTTGAGCTCTTTTGACTACGTACATTAAAGCGCAACTTAATGCTGCCGTGCAGTCTGATTCGCGGAGGAATCTATTCAGCGTTGAGTAAGATAGAACTGCAGAACCGTTCAATCAGGCAAATTCGTAACACAGATTGTATCCCGATTAGACCAGAGAGCAGAACAAAGATACTATCTAGGTTATTGCTGATCAGATATACCGTCCTTTGGGATGTGTTATCTACCACAACCAGATTGTGGGAGAACACAGCAGAATTTCGTGATAAGCTAGAAAGTCACTTTGATCTGAGCATTAAATCACC